CAAAAAAATTAAAACAAAAAGTGGAAAAAAGAGAAGAACTATTGGAAGAAATAAGAGATATAAAATTGGGAAACAATAAAGAGCGAAAAGGAAAATTTAGAAAAATAACTGAAATGATATTAAAACGAAAATTTAAAAGGAATCAAAAGGAAATCCGGAAAAGATCTAAAAAGTTTAATTACAAATATGGCATTGAACGATTTAGAAATAGTTTTGAAATGTTGAATGAAGAATATGACAGTGAAGATTTAAATAAGGAAATCGAAGAGAATAATATATTTTTAGATGAATTACAAGAATTAGACGAAAAATATCCGAATGGAGAAATCGGAAAAATAAAAACTGAAGAAGGTAAAAAATTAAAAAAATCCTTAAAGTTATATAAGGATTATAAGAAAATAGAGGAGATTATAAAACAATTGGAAAACAAACGTGACAATTTAGAGGTGTCAAAAAATTTGAAAAATAAAATTAACGAAAAAGAAGAAATAATGGAAAAAATAAAAGAAATTGAAGACAATAACTATAAAGAAAAGAATGAAAAATTAGACAAAATAAGAAAAGAACAAGAGAAAATATTGGAGGAGAAGTTAGAAAAGATAAAATTTGAAAATGATAAAATTGTTAAAGGAGACCTGGAAGGTGAAGGAAACAAATGTTGAAAAAATATGCTGATTTTATTGTTGAATTAAAAGAGAGATGGTTTAGAGCACTTTTTTATCATGTATTGGATAAAGAATACAAAAGTGAAGACAAAAAGAATGTTAAAATTGAATTAAGCAAGGAAGAAGGGGTAAAAGGAGAATCAAGTACTAGCCATAATGCTGAAACAAATCAAGATGAAGGAGAGGAACATGTTCTTTATTTTGACAAAAACAGTTTAATAGGAAAACCATGCTTACTAAAAGCTTATGGAAAAGAAAATGCAGTAAAACTAGTTAAAGGGAAGAAGGATTCGGCAATTTTTGTGAATATGAACGGTGAAAATACTACAGGCAAAATAAATGAAGGTAAGTTTTTAACGAAAACTGTTCTCTTCATTTTCACGCCGCAAGCGAAAAGTTTGAGAATTTTGGAAGAACAAGTCACCAGATTTCTTCCTTTTTAGCTCCCATAATTAATAAAAATTCCCGATTTTTTCCCGATTTTCAGAAAAAATTCGTGAATCGGGAACGTGAATTCACGAGAATTTCAAATTCACGATTTTCGTGAATCGGGAATTCACGAAAATTTCAAAATCGCGATTTTCGTGAATCGGGTATTCACGAGCCAAAAATCGTCAAGAATTTACGATTTTCGTGAATTCGGAAATTTTGCTTTTTCGTACGGGAATTAAAATTATGAGGAGTTAGATGTACTGAGGTTCTTAATTGATCATTTTTAATGCTAACCCAAAGGATTTTTGTAGTGAGTCCTTTAACAATAAGTCCGAAACAATGCTTTTCGAACCCACTCGTAACTACATTATTACCATGTACCTGCGAAACATGCGTCGGGACTGGTAATTGAGTTACTACGACTTTTCTGCAAAAGCGGATAGCTTTATTAAAATTTTTATTTTAAATTTTTGAAGGTCTGATCGAAGTTGAGAAAACAGTTTCTGCTATTAAAGAATACAGTAAAAATAGCGAACGAAAGGATTTAGCAGATATGTTAATGGAAATTTTGAAGAAACCAAAGTTAAATTAAAAAGTATTAAATGAAAGAAAAAATTGAAGAATGTAAAAAATGTAAAATTTATAAAAGACTGATTTCAAAAACAAAAAAAGAAAAAAAACACAATGATTCAACCAGACTATTTTTTATTTAATTTTCAAAACAAACATTTAAAAAGATATCCGTGGAGGGCAAAACACATTCCATCCGTCCGATACATTAGAGTAAAACTAGAAATTTAAAGATAAGAGTTGTTGTTACTAGACAAGAAACAATACACTTAGGTATCAGAATTATTAAGATAACATATATCGACATAAATCTAATTTATGATAGAAGTGGATAGTGTATTTTAGTTTATTGTGCTTGTATTTTGGATGGCCTGTGCTTTGTCCTTCATCCAACGATATCACACCGGTTATTTATTTAAAAATTTTGATTATTTCCCCTGTAAATATTCATTCCAAATGGTCATAAAATTATCATCCATGGCCAAACCCTTGTATATTTTTTAACCTTGAACTACCCTAACGACAACCGTTTTGAAAATTTATTTTTTAAATTTCATTTAACATTTTTATAACCATTATTCGTAGATTTGTATAAATTTTAGTTGCAAATTTATATATTTTTTACGGGGAAAATGGTATTCTATCAAAAAATATTTAAAAGTCGAAAACTCTCCAGAAAATAGACTTCAGAAAAAAATCCGCAAAGTTTTAACAATTTCATATGTTCTAATGGCAAATTCTAAGCAAAAACAAGTCGAAGGATCAAAAACCAAATAAAACTAAAATCTTTATGCCCGATTAAAAGTAAAAATTATAAAGAATGTTGAATAAATCGGACTTGCTCATGGACATGGATTTTGGTATCCGTAAAGTAAATAAGGGTTAGAACAAGAAACGTAGAAAGAAATATTGAATGATTGGTAATATTAAAACAAAAAATTATTTCCGAGACTTAAAGAAAATTTAAAATTTTTTCAATGACTAAAATTTGCTAAACAAAACCAAACATTAGTGTGGAACAGAACATTTAGAGACTGATAGTTCCATAAAGATTTTGGCAATCTCGTTCCCGCCCTGTTTCTAGCAATCATATATCAAAAGTCATACATATCCATGAGCATGCCATAAATAAAGTGCATACATTTGTGGGTAGGTGCTAACTCGAGAAATTCAAATCCCGGAACAGACAGGTCACGGAACAACAATTCACGGAATTGCCAAGCCAGGAACGACCAACTCACGGGAAGACAACACGGAATATTTTAAAAATCAGAATATTTTTAAAAATCAGAATAATTTTAAATTCTGTTTTTTAAATATTCTAATTTTTCATAAAAGTCTTATTTTTCAAAATATTCAGATTTTTAACATATTCCGTTTTTTGGTCATTCTGTGAGTTGGTTGTTCCGTGATTTAGTAAAACCGTGACTTGTCCGGCCCGAGAGTAGCCCGACACGACATTTTTGTTAATTTTTTTGATTTTGTTTGTTTTTCCTCTTTTGTTAAATAAAAATTTTCGTACAATTGATTGTAGTCCCCAGCCATAGTTAAATAAATAAAGGGTGTGCTATTGCTTGAAAAATTAAATTTAAAATATGATTGTTAGCTAAATACAGCGTCGTTTATTATTTTTGTTTTTTTACATTTTCTTGTTTTTTTTTTTGTATTTTTTATTTTGTTTATTTTTTTTGTATTTTTTAATTTACAGGATTTTTTAAATTTTTCTTTTCTTTTATACAACTTTTAATTTAACTCAGGGTTTTTCAACGCTTCCATTAACATTTCAGTTAAATCAATTTGTTCACCGCTTTTGTTGTATTTTTTGATTGCTGATACTGCTTTCTCAACCTCAACCAAACCTTTGAAAAGTTTAAATAAAAACCTTTATATGCATGCTTCACGCCAGATATTTAATGTTAAGTAAATCAGCACTGTCCGTACTCGTGCTTCGCAGATAGTTTTGGGCTTCGTACCCAGTACAGCGTGAAAGAAAACCGGATACCATGCTCAGCTATGTGAAAAGTTCGTATCTAGTTACTAGCTCCCTCATTTTATTTTCAAAAAACTTACCTTCATTTATTTTACCTGCAGTATTTTCATCGTTTATACTCACAAGAATTCCTGAATCTCTTTTCTCTTTAATCAATGTTACATTGACTTCTTTTCCATAAATTTTTTCCACAGTTGTTTTTCTAATTAAACTGTTTTTGTCAAAATAAAGAATATGTTCGTCCTGTTCATTATGAATTGTTTCAATATTATTGCTACTACTTGCTTCTCCTTTTTCAGTTTGCTCCTCTTCTTTGATTTCCTTGCTTAATTTAATTGTCACCTTCTTTTTTCCTTGACTTTTGTATTTAATTACATGATACAATATTGCTTTAAACCATCTTTCTTTTAATTCAACGATAAAATCATCATATTTTTCCAACATCTTTTCATGTTCTTCTTCAATGTTTAACAGCCCTTTTTCAAATAATTTATCATTTTCGATTTTTAAATTCTTTATCTTTTCTTCCAATAATTTATTCTGTTTGTTTTGAATCTCCTCTGATTCTTTTCGCATATTTTTATAGTTTTCATATTCAATTCTTTTTAAATTTTCTCCGCGACTTTTTTCTCTGAATTCTTGGTATCTTCTCTTATTCAATCCTCTTAATTTTATCCGTTTTAATTTTTTATCAACTTCTTTATCATGATTGAATTTTAACTCGTCGATAATTGCTTCATACCATCTTTTCCTAAATTCCTCATCGTTCATCTCTTCCAATTCCTCTCTTTCATTTTTAACTTCTTCAATTAATTCAACAATTGCCATAGGTTTTTCTGATTCAATTTGTATTGTTGTCTCAGTGTCAAATATTTGGACAGAAATAAATTCACCATTCTTGTAAGGATCTCTAAAATCCAATTTTCCATCAGAGGTTGTCTTATAAACTTTGCCTGTTCTAGTCAAAGGAATTTGAGTATTAGCTTTTATTTCTTCCATACCATAGTAAATCATCTGAAATATATAATAATAACGATTTCTAATATTTTGAGTAATGAAAAATGATTTTTTAGTCAAATGATCAAAATTGACTAATAAACTGCTATCCATCGAATGAATTTTAAAAGACATTTTCTGATGATTTTCTTTGAAAATTTTTTTGTTTTGCTTTTTATTGAGAATAACAGAATCATATTTAATTTGTTTAATAAAATCACAAAAAATCAAATCAAAAGGAATTCCTATATTTTCATTTGATTCGAAAATTGTCATCCCTTCATACTTCGTTAATATTTGCTTTAAATGAGCATAATCAAAGGATTGAGGACGATTCATTGGAGCACCAAGGATGACCAAAGGCTTTTCATCTTCAGTATTTATGTCCAAAACTGCTGTATTATAGATCAAATTCAAAAATGATTTTCCTTTTTGATTTCCTTCTTTTTCATTTATATAATTTGATAAATTTTTTACTCGTTCCTTCAAAACATTTTCCATATTTTTTATTTTTAACACATCTTCTTTAGTAGGAATTCTTCCCAATGTTCTCTTTCTCTTTTTATTACCAAAAGATAATTTATCAAATCCAGAACCCAAAAAGAAACGTAATTTTGGCATCCATTTTGGATCAAAAAAGATAAATCGATTTCGTGTGTAATCTTCAGGACGATTATTTACAAGAGTTGCATTCATTCCCTCTAGAAATAATTAAATTTTTTCAAAAATAATTAGAATTACCCATAAAGAGTTCGAAGGCAGCATATAAACCAACTGGACCATCACCCTCCACAATTACATTTTTATATTCTTTTCTCATTCTTTTATTTTCCAAATGATGATTGTAGATTTTTACAATAATAGCTTTATCCATTTCTTTGCTTTGTATTTTCGATAAATTAAATAAAAATTTCAGCACATTTAAGGCGGTAAAATTAAACAACGATTCCTTGTAGTTTAACGAGGATGCTTTTTCCATAAAAGAGTAAATATCAATCAAAGAGCCTTCTGAACCTTTTGAATGCAAATCTATCATGAAAGTCTTGCAATTTATTATTATATTTATCAATTCCATGCAGCTTTCTCTATTAGACGAAGTAGAAGATTCCTTGAAATTTATAACTAAATGGCCAATTGAATGACGGTATTGAAAATAAATAAGACTATTCAGTTAGAATAAATACAGTATATATGTATATCACGGGTTGGAAGTCTTTACAAATTTCAATAGGGCATTTACGAATTACATACAAATTTTTTTTGCCATCTATTTGCAGTTCTAAACATTACCTTTTCTTCTAACATCTCATCAATATTTCTCTTTTTGACAATTTCATCATATTTTTTTAATTCATTAGCAATATCTTCTGTTGCATCAAGAGATATGTTAATATTTTTTAAATTTAGTTGAGCAAATTCGGCAACTTTAGTTACAAGTCTGACAAAAGCTTTATTAAATGTTTCGAAAAGGGTTTTATACTCCTCATGTTCTTCAAGATTTATATATTCCTCGAATTTAACAGCATCATTTGAGTATAAACCACCTCGAGGCATTCCAGTTGAATTATCTATCTCAGCAATTTGTTTTAATCGTTTAATGCGACTTTCTTTTAACACTCCATCTATACAAAATAATAAAAATTTTTCTAAAACAACAAATGACTCCAATTATAAAATCTATATTAGATTGCTTTCAGAAAAACATAGTTTCTGAACAGCGTGTGTGGTTTTAAATATTTATACCTTTATCGAAGTTTTTTGCTGCTTCGCCAACATCAAACTTTAAAGCGAAAATCAAGACAAAAATTATCCACAAATTTGTTTTGCCTCGCATTCTCTCTTACCACAAGGATTCTCAATAGAAACTTTTGTTTCTAATCCTTTTAATGAAGATTTTTTAATTAAAAAAATTTTTTTAAATAGGTTATATTCAGTTAAATTGAATGTGGATAGGTAAATAAATGCCGACTTTTATAATATCTATATTTTACTCTCAATGCTATCTCTAAATTGCCCTATTAAATAATAGTTAAATAAAATAGCATCGATTTCCTGAGTCTATATCGAGCCAAAGTCCTTTCTAAGGACAAATTTTAGCTCGTTGAGCTTTTTCTTGGCTCGCTGAGCTCTATCGGATGATATAGCTTGTTAAAACATTATAAAACAAATTAATTTTGTCGCGGATCGCTCCAAAGTGCATTCTCTTGCTCTAAGAGCAAGAGAAATAGTTTAGTTTAACAATTGGCTGGGAAACTTATTTTCTATTTTATCTTCCTCTTTTGCTACTATCTTGTATGTTTATAAAGCCTAATTTAGCACACTGCTTGGTGTTTACAGGGTGCGTAGAAAGTCCTTGCCCACACTCTTTTTGGCATAAAAATTTAATCAATCTCGTTTTTAGGTTGCTTTTATTTGGCCTTCAAAGTCACCTTATCTTAATACTCTGGAAATTTATGTTTGGACACTTTTGTAGCAAATGATTAGACGAAAAAGATAAAAAATTATTGAGAATCTGAAAACTTCAATAAAGCGTGCCCGGGCCCAAAAAAGTGAAATGACTGTGCGACCATCGTAGTCAATTTCCAGAAGTGTTTAGATGCTTGTATTTTCGCAAATTTTTCAAATTTTGCAAATCTTTTTTAATTTTCTAATAACACACATTCTTGTGATTTTATGTGTGAATTTATTTGGCAAAATTCCTCATGATTAAATTTTTATGCCAAAAAAAGTGTGGGCAAGGACTTTTTACGCACCCTGTATATGTTTATATAAGTTTTTTATGTTTAAATAAGCGGAACTCTTGCAAAATATCCTATTTTTGCATCATATCTCTATAATTTAATTATGCTTAAAACGGTATCACGACTTTTGCGCCGAGAACATTTGCGCCGCGACTTATGCGCCGCGACTTTTGCGCCGGGCGACTTTTGCGCCGCGACTCTTGCGCCGCGACTTTTGCGCCGGGCGACTTATGCGCCGCGACATTTGCGCCGCCATTGTTTAAAAAATCCGGATCCGAAAAATGCCGGATATCCGAAATTTTCAGTTCGGATATCGGATCCGAAGATTTCCAACTATTCGACAACCCTACTAAAGTGAGGTCCGGCTATAGTTATTGATATATTTTTAATGATAGTGGCGGCGCAAAAGTCGCCAGGCGCAAAAGTCGCGGCGCAAAAGTCCCCCGGCGCAAAAGTCGCTCGGCGCATAAGTCGCGGCGCAAAAGTCGCGGCGCATAAGTCGCGGCGCAAATGTTCTCGGCGCAAAAGTCACGGAACCCTTAAAACAATTAAAATAAAAAAAATTTCAAAATTTCGAATTTATTTATTGTCCTAATCCCGATAATCGTATGATTATTTGTCCTTTATTAATAGTCTTGGCTCTTTTTTGGCTTTATCTTAGACGTTTCTTAGCTTAATTTTTGGCTTTTTCTTAGCTTAATTTTTGGCTTTTTCTTGGCTCATTTCTTGGCTTTTTAATTGCCCTTTTTCTGTTATATTCACTTATGAATGATTATTTGCCCTTATGATCATTCCTCCTCTTTATCTTAATTAGAGCTAAATCGAGAGGGAGACTTTAAAAGAAACAAAAACAAGGAAGTCTCAGAAAAATCCAAGATGTTTAAACACAAATATGACTATAGAGGAATAAGGAATAGATTTCATGATTTTAATTGCGAATACAACAGTGGAAAAATCAAGAATATAAAAACTAAAGATGATAAAAAGTTGAAAAAAGAACTACATCAATTAAATGACAAATATGAGAAGGGTGAAATAAAAAATATAGTTACTGAAGAAAATGAAAAAATAAAAGGAGAATTGAAATTATTTAATAAATATAAGAAAATAGAGAAGGAAATAAAAGTATTGGAAACTGAACTTGAAAGTTTAGAGGAGTCAATAAAATTGAAAGAAAAAATAAACGAAAGAGATGAAATGACGAAAAAAATAGAAGAAATTAAAGAAAAGAACGATAAAGAATTGGATGAAAAATTAAACATGATAGGAAATGAACAAAAGAAGATATGGGAAGAAAAACTTGAAAAGATAAAAAATGAGAATGAGGAAATTTTGAAAGAAAACAAGGAAATTAAGCGCAAGGAAATGTTGGAGAAATATGATGATTTTATTGTAGAATTAAAAGAAATGTGGTTTGGAGTTGTTTTTTATCATGTTTATGATAAAGTATACAAAAACGAAAACAAAAAGAAGATATCAATTAAAATAACTAAAGAATCGGAAAAAGGAAAAGCAAGTACTGGTAGTAATATTAAAACTTTTCAAGATGAAAAAGACGAATATATTCTTTATTTTAATGAAATTACTTTAATTAAAAAAACATTTTTGCCAGAAATTTATGGAAAAGAATATGCATTAGAATTGGTTAAAGGAAAAAAACATTCTGCAATTTTTGTACAAATAAACGGAAAAATTACTAAAGAAGGCAAGTTTTTTGAAAATCAATATTGAAACAAATAACTAGACATTCCTTGTTATAATTTTTAATCTTAAGTTACTTCAACAATAACTCCTTACCGTTGGTTAAGAACCGCTTTTTAATTTTTTACAGTGAGCAGTTTTAAAGCGCTGGCTGGGATGAGTCCATGGCCTTAACAAAACATAATAACTGGGCATATACTTATATTTACTTTTTTATTTGAAATTTTTTAAAGGTTTGAACGATGTTGATAACGCTGTTTTTGCTATCCAAAAATACGGAAAAAATAGCAAAAAAAAAGACTTATCAGAAATGTTAAACGAATCGATGAAAAAGCCTGAGTTAAATTAAAAGGTTGAAAAAAAGAAAAAATCGGAGAATGTAAAAAATGTAAAATTTGTAAAAGACAGATTAAACAAACAAAAAAAGGAAGAAAACACAATGTATTCAGCTAAACCTAAACGATTATTTTTTGTTTAATTTTTAAAGCAAACATTCAAAAAGATATCCATGTAGGAGAAAACACATTCCATCCGTCCGATACATTAGAGTAAAACTAAAAAGTTTAAAGATAAGTGTTGTAGTTACTAGAGAAGAAACAATACACACTTAGGGATCAGAGATATTAAGATATCATATATCGAAATGGATTTAAGATCTTAATATAACATATATCGACTTAAATCTCATTCAATATTGTAGAAGTGAACAGTGTTTATTAATTTAATTCACTTGTATTTTGGATGGAGTGTGTTTTGTCCTTCATCCAACGATATCACACCGGTTATTTATCTAAAAATTTTGATTATTGCCCCCTGTAAATATTCATACCAAATGGTCATTAAGATATCATTCATGGCTAATCCCTTGTATATTTTTTAACCTTGAACTACACAAACGAAAACCGTATTTAAAAACTATTTTTTAAATTTTATTTAACATTTTTACAACCATTATTATTAGATTTGTATAAAATTTTAGTTTCAAATTTAAAAACTTTTTTTATGGGGTAAAATGTTATTTTGAATTGAAAAATGTTTTCAAATGAAAATTTTCCACTGAAACTCTATTATACATAAATTATTTATTCCGTCAATGTCTCTACACCTGCGTCCTCTACATAGTGGTATAAATAATATTTTAAAAAATTAAAAATAATCAGAATAAACGCAATTATATAAGCATAGTCTCTAGAAAGTATTCGAATAAAATTATAATAGAAAGTTTCCGGAAAATTAGTGTGTTAAATTCAGTTATTACACAACTTTAACAATATAAACATAACGGAAACGCTTTTTAGTGAAAAATTATTTTTTGACGAAATATCAATTTTGTATTTCCAATTCTAAATTTATACAAAGTATTTGTAGAAACAAAATATTTATTTGTAATGTAACTTCTAGACATATGTAGAGTTAATTTTATGTGATTTGTGTTTTCCTTGATTTTTATCGTTTTGTATTTTTTTGAATTTTCTGTATATTTTGGATATAAAAATTTTATTTCCGATTTCCGGGTTCCGACTTTTGCAAGTTCAGATTTCCGGCTCTTACGATTTCCGACACCTGAGACACCTACTTCCCTTTATTTGCTGTGAGTGGCGATAGACACTAGAGTACAATACAACGTCAATACATTATCTACTCTACGCCACTCGCAGGAAAAAAATGAAGTAAGAAAGTCCGCAATGAAGAGGGAGAAATGAGAACGGTAGAGTATGGATTTGAAATACAGGGTTAGGGTTCAACTTTAGACACAACTTTATGTCAAAAAATGCCATAAAATATAAATGCAAAATACCAAATATCATTAAAATATCCTTTATGATTATTAAATTATTGTGTTTAACAATCTTGTCCAAAATTATTATTAACCTTAAAAACAACAAAAAGACTATAGTAAATAGAAATTCTGGACTCTTTTTACTGCTATATAATTTTTAAAAATTTGAATTAAATGCTATTGATTAAGAGTACATTATTGTGAAAAGCACACGAATAGTTGTAAAAATCAATTCAATGGATAAAAATTTTAAAAACTGCTTTGATGAGGCCGTGTCAATTACCTGGGAAGGACGGACAGTATTTTGTAATAATCCGCCAAAAAATTTTACGCACGCGCTCTCTTAAATCTTTAGAAAGGCATTTTACACTCTCTTTAACTCTCCTTTCTTATTCCATCAATATACATATATACAATTACCAACTCTCTAACATTAACATTTATTAAAAAAATTTTTTAAATTAAAAACCCAATTAAAAACTTAAAACCCTTCTATTTAAAAAATTTGTTTTAAAAAAGAAATGAGAGGTCGTCAGAAATTGTTGCCAGCTTTTGCTGTGATTCTCATTTTGAAATTTTATGTTAACGCTGTTTCTAACAACTCCGACGAAGGTATTAATATTTAAAACTTTCCAAAAATTTTTTAAAAAATCACGGTATGAAATTTTATGGGAAAATTTTTTGTAAAACTTATTTATAAAAGTAGGCATGACTATTGACTTTATAAAAAGTGGAAGTATTCGATCAGCAAGTACACCCAAGAGCGTGAGCATAGCCAAATTCCGAGTATACCTCAATCCACGGGCTTCACAGAGATAAAGCGCCATGTAAACTGCTTTGGCTAAATAATCTTTAAGTTTTATGGCTTTTATTGAACTAGGACTCAAGCCCTATATTCTCAAAAAATTACAACTTTTTTCAAAAAAAATGATAAGAGTTATGACCAAGAGATTCAAGTAATCTCTGAGGCAGCTCTAATTTGAATAAAGTTATCCAATAAATAGCTTGTCCTAAACATTTCTTGTCACCCTGTATAATCCTCAAGAAAATTATTTTTACAAAAGTTCTTTGGTATTGGTATTTTAATATGTAGGAGTCAATTATTGTTTTTAAACATTTTATTATAGAGGGAGTATTAGACGTTTTGCGCATTGAACGTTTAAAACAAATTGCCGAGGAAGCTAATTCAACTGCAATTCTTCGTGGAGGTATATATTCAGATGATGCTATTAAATTCGAGGAATATAAATATCTTGAGAAGAATTTGAAAGAGTATGAAAGCATTTTCAAAACATTTAAAGGAGCTTATGAAAGACTTGTAACTAGAGTTGTTGAATTTGCGGAACTGAATTTAAAAAGTAGTAAATTACCTTTTGATAAACCAGAAATAGTTACAAAAGAACTAAAAGAATATGATAAAATTATTAAAAATGATAAAAATATTGAAGAAATATCGGTAATTCATAAATTGTCTTATGAAATTTTTGGGGAAACCTCCAATGACCCGGACTGTTTAATCCGTATCATGCATAGATTTCTGCACCAAGTCATGGCTCTAGTTTAGGACATGCATCCCGTCCCAAAAATAGTAAAGGCATACCAACCTAGGCATACCAACTCTGTAATGTCGGTTTCACATAAAAAGCGTTTTGCGTTTTGCGACAAAAATAGTATTGGGAATGAAGAGACGTGATTTTGTCTCTCTATCTTTTGAATGCTTTATATGTCATTTCCATGTTTTATGAATCACTAATTATAAATTTCAAGGGATCTGCTACTTCTTCAGATACAAGAGCATATTACAAGGATCTAATAATTATAGTTATAAACTGCAAGATATTTATGGCAGATTTACACTCAAAAGGCTCAGAAAGCTCTTTGATTGATATTTACTCTTTTATGGAAAAAGCATCCACTTTATATTACAAAGAATCATTGTTTAATTTTACTGCATTAAACGTGTTGAAATTTATTTTTAATTTATCAAAAATACAAAGCAAAGAAATGGATAAAGCTATTATTGAAGTAATCTACAATCAGCATTTGGAAAACAAAAGATTGAGAAAAGAATATAAAAATGTAATTGTGGAGGTTGGTGGTCCAGTTGGTTTATATGCTGCCTTCGAACTTTTTATTGGTATTAATTATAAATTAAAACAACTGGATAGTCGGGACACGTAGCTAATACTCGTTTTTAGAGTATAGAAAAGGTCTGTAGGATTTTTATTAGGAGTAGCTATGATACACTCTGACTAGAGCTTAATTAAATTCTATCTGAATTTAGTTATTTTACTTTTCAAATGTAAGGATCTATAAAAAGGGTTTAAAACGATAATAATTTAAGATAATAATTTTAAAAAATATCAATAATAATTTAAGAAGGAATGAATGTAACTGTTGTGGGAAGCTATAATAGTGAAATAGGTTATACAATAAAACTTGACACCAAATTGATGTCTGAATTACGAATATTTTTGGGTACTAAATTTGATAAATTAGTAACAAAAAAAGAAAAATCAAGGATAAAATTCAATGATTATGAAATTCGTGTAAATATAGAAGAAATTGAAAATGCTTTAAAAGAACGGTTAAAAGAATTGTCAAAACATGTACAGGAAAAAGAGAATGGAACACAAAATGAAAAATCTTTTTTGAACTTGCTATTCGATACAAAAGTTTTGGACATTAATACTGTTACTGAAAAGCCAAGGGCTATTTTAGATCACGTTCATGAAAGGAAAAATGTTGGAATTCCATTTGATTTGATTTTCTATGATTTTATTAATCAAATTAAAAATGGAACCGTTATCCTCAAAAAAAGGCATAACAAAAAAATTTTTGAGGAAAAGCATAACATGATAATTAATGTTAATTCAATATGTCATCCTTATTTAACCGAACTAGAAGAATTATTTAAAAATTCAACTTTCCTTTCGGAAAAAATTAAACATAGTTATTATCATATGGAGAAGTTGATCTGTAAGGGTATGATAGAGGTGAAAAATAATTCACAAAGTCCATTGACTAGAACAGGCAAAGTTTATTTTACATCCATGGATGGAACACTTTGGTTTAAAACTTTTGGGATCGGCGAGAATATTAATGTCAAAATATTTGAGACAGAGACAAATATAAAATTAAAGGCAAAAATACCTATGGCAATTGTTGAATTAATTGAAGAGGTTAAAATTGAAAGGGAAGAATTGTTAAAAGATGGTGAAATGTTGAGAAAATATGATAATTTTATTGTTGAATTAAAAGAAAGATGGTTTAGATCCATTTTTTATGTCTTATTTGATCAATTATACAAAAGTATAGACAAAAAGAAGCTGATAATTAAATTAAGTAAAAAAAATGAAGGAGAAGCATGTACTAGCAATAATATTAAAACAATTCAAGATAAACAAGAGGAACATGTTCTTTATTTTGACAAAAACAGTTTAATTGGAAAAACATTTTTGTTAAAAATTTATGGAAAAGAAAATGCAGTAAAATTAGTTAAAGGAAAAAAAGATTCGGCAATTTTTGTGAATATAAACAATGAAAATAAAAATGAGATTAGTAAAGGTAAGCTGAGGATGAATAAAAGAAATAACTTGTGGGGAACATTTTACTTCAGTTAGGGGCAGTCCTCCGAATTTTAAGTTTTGCTTTCACTCCTGATTTGGTGATACTGTCTGCTAAGTAGACTTGAGCAGCTTACTCGATGCTAAAAACTCTACCCTTTCTCAGCCTGAAAAATCCTTTAGTTTGTAACGGTCGTTTGAGTTGAAAATAAATTTTCGGCTAATAACTGCAGATAACTTATATTTGGACTTAAAATTTTTAAAGGTTTGCTCGGTGTTGAGAATGCAGTTTATGCTATTAAGGAATACAACAAAGGTAGCGAACAAATGGATTTAAATGAAATGTTAATGGAAGCGTTGAAAACCTCTAATTGAATTAAAAAAAAGCTGATTGAACGGAAAGTAAAAACAAAAAATACAAAATGATAAAAAGAAAAAAACTGTGTTTATCTAACTCAATGAATATTTTCTTTAATATAAAACTAGGGTGTCAATTCCAGTAAATTTTTCGGTTAAACTGAAAAGATTTGTTTACAAATTAAATAGTGTAGCTTCTCTCCAGACAGTTTATAACCAAATTTTTTAAGGGGTAATTTAGTAAGAGTTTAGCAAGAGTTTAGCCACCATCCGGATTGGAACCTAATCGTAATTGCTTATGCTCACTACATACAGGAGCTCTTTTCTGGAAATTTTATAGAAATCGGTTTAATTTTATCTGACAAATTTTTTGTTTCAAAACAGTTATATTTAGTTACACTAACGACAATCCTATTCGACACCTATTTTTTCATATTTTATAATTTTTATTTTAGATTTGTATAAAATTTTAGTCGTAAATTCACTTTCTTACTGTACTTTTTATCTGGTCCAAAATTCTAAAAATTTTCGCCTGCAGCTGATAAAAGGAATCCCTGTAATAATAGCGGAAGATATATGATATAAAGCAGTGCTGAAACATTCCAAAAGTAAAATTCAGGGACTGATAGTTTTGATAGCGAAAAATCTGAAATTTTTTTTCAAATCAAAAAATAAATAAAATTAAAATAGAAGACAGTTTCAATTTATGCAACTTAAAAAACAATTCAAATGAGTAAATAATGCGAATCTCTTAACGGTTAAAAATGTTGAAAAATAAAATGCGCGGTTTGCAGAATTAATCTATGTACATTGAATCAGGATAACTTTGTTTTTTAAAATAAAAATAGAAAATTTTGAATTTTATGAACCTAGTTTCCTTCACCTTGCTCACGCAATCTTGATTTAGGACTAGGTCCAGACACCCCTATGGGAAAATCTCCAATACTTTATAAAAAGTTTGGAGATTTATATATATCTATAACCCTGAACCGGATCTTATATTCAATTTTCTTTTTTGCAAAAGTCTATTGGTTAAAATGGAAGAGAAAATCATGTTAATAAGTTAGAAAAGTTTAGATACCGGGTAGGAGCCGAACATTCGACCAGTCTGACCGTAATCGCTGAACTAGTTTACACCTTTTCCGGTGCCTTTATAACATTAGGATATCTCCAATTTCCAACCATTGTTTCACAATTACATTTGACTAGAATGATTCATAAAATTCAAAAATACCCAAATACCGAAAAAAATAACCAAAATCTTTAAATACCCAAAAATACGTAGAATGTTTTTTACTCCAACTCCTTTTCTTCACTTTGTTAATCGTCTAGATCTACTTTTATGCCGTCAAGTATTTCTACATACTCTTTTGCTTTCTCGAGCACACGTCTTCGAACTTTTTTCAACGCAGAATTCATCAGTTTGCGTAAATTTTGATGGTCCGGGTTTTGATAGTATAGTTTAATTGCATTAACTGCTCTTTCGACTCCAAATCGACCTTAATAAAATTTATTAAAATATTTTTCAACGCTGCTTCTCCTATTCAACCGATATCCTTCCTATTCCCTCAGAATCCCTGTTAATTCTTCAAAATATCCCAAGAAGTAGGAATTGACTTGTAACTTCCTGGCAATTAGTGTTATGAGCCTACCCACATTCAAAGGCTTTACTGACTATTAAAAAGTATCAAAATAAAAACTTGCCTGTACTAGTCCCACTAGATGTCATAAAATGAGCACTTGTATTTGCATCACCTATAGCGGCAATAATTGCTGAATCTTTTGTCCCACTAATTTTTCGTACAGGTTCTTCAACTCCATAAATTCCAACATAAAAAGTGCTTGTATTAGCACTGTGAGGGTCGTATTTAAGAGTTTGCTGTACTTGGGATATATTTTTGCCTTTATAAAGTGTACGTGAACTAGTATACTCAGCACCTTCAATAACTACTTGTCCAAATCTCTCCGGATGTCTAACAGAAAATGTATAATCAAACAGAGCTTTAGCCCATCTTTTTTGCAATTTATCATGTAAATCGTCAAATTCTTCAATTTTATTTGAATTTTCCTTTAAATTTCTTTCAAGTTTTAATTCTTCAATAAATTCTACAAGTGCTAAAGGCGTTATAGATGCAATATGCAATGTTGGATTTGATTCAAAGAGACGAACAACAATTTGCTCGTCGGACGAATTTTTCGCTATAATGTTTCCTTTATGGTTTACCGCGTATCTTTTGCCTGTTTCCACTAAAGTTACTCCCTCCCCTGCTTTTATAGGAGATTTTTCCTCTGCCATACCATGAATGATTAATTTATTTATGTTGGCATAACGTTTTTTTAGTTGTTCAGAAATGAAATCAGCATCACTTATCAATTTGTCTATCTTTTGTCTTTTTAAATGAGGTCGCATGCCTTTCATTGGATTGCGATAGAAAGTTGCATTGTCTGTAAAAACTTTCACATCATGTTTGACCTTGTCAAAAATTGCAACTCCGTAGTTTATGGATTGTGTTAGCTGTTTTGGCTCTTCTAAAATTTAAAATTTCGTTAATAGTTTTTAATGGGAATTGATGATCTTATGCAATTCTAGTGTAAACAGGCCGCGGCACCCCTCCCCCTGGTCCATCATATAAAAAATTTACCTATAAATTTTGTCCGTATTTGGTCTCTTGCACCACCAGCACAGAAAAACAAATCAAAAGGAATTCCAATTGTTTCCCCTAATTCAATCATCCCTTCATAATTTGTTAATATTTGCTTTAAATGACCATAATCAAAGGATCCAGGACGCTTCTCTGGAGCGCCTAGGATGGTTAAAGGCTTTTCATAGTTTGTATTTATGTCCAAAACTGCTGTATTATAGATCAAATTCAAAAATGACTTTCCATGTTGATTGTCTTGATGAATATCTTCAGTGATTTCAAGTTGAATTGCCTGATCTATTCTTTCCTTTTCTTTCTCATTTATATATTTTGATAAATTTTTTAACCGATTCATCAAAAAAGTTTCCATATTTTTTATGTTAACAAACCCAATATCTTCATCAAGAATCATTCCCAACGATTTTTCTCCATTTTGTTTGTCAAAAAATAATTTATCAAATTCAGTACCCAAAAAGAAACGTAATTGTGACATCCATTTTCGGTCAAAAAAGACAACTCGATTTCGTATATACTTCTCGGAACGATCATTTACTAGAGTTACATTCACTCCCTCTAAAAATTATTTAACTTTAATGTTTTCTCGCTTCACACCATTTTAGTATGAGCTGCATGATAGACTAATAGGAAGCCCTTACTGTATTAATTCAAATGTTTGTTAAATCGTTCCAGATCAGGCTCAACGGCACCGGGAACTTTCGTCTTTACTGGCTCTCGGAACTCGGGATCCTAATACTAAGGGGGGGTCCTAATTTCCTTATACTTACTCGACCGACTCGTGTAACCCGAGTCGGTTTTTTCCCATTTACTCGGTACTCGACGTATCCTAACAAACTGCACTATTCAACTTATTCGTTCTTTTTAAAAAACAAATTTTAAAACAATTCAAATTACCCATAAAAAGTTTGTAGGCAGCATATAAACCGACTGGACCAGCACCCTGCACAATTGCTCGTTTAGACTTGGATTCTTTTTTGTGTTCCTCATAAATTCTTTCGAAAATAGCTTGATCCAATTTTTCAGTTTGTATTTTAGATAATTCAGAAATCTTTTTTAAATCCTTCATTTCAGAATGATTATTCATAAAAGAGAATATATCAATCAAAGAGCCTTCTGCCCCCTCAGAATGTAAATCTCTAATAAATACTTTACATTCAATCACTAAATTAATTAATTCTTTGTATTGTTCATCTGTCTGTTGAATGTTTTTTGTTTGCTTCGGTGGAGGACGAGAATGTTCTTCATCAGAAGAAGGATGTTTATCATGGGAGGTAGAAGATTCTCCGAAGCATACGCATAATTTCTGAAGCTTTCGTTTTAGTCCTTTTTTGCCATTTTTGTTTTTTCCGGGTGTCTCTTCAGATCGGGCAGCCTTTTCCACTTCAATTTGATCCTTTTCATCATCCCCACCATTTTTCAAACAAATTTTAACTTTTTCAGGTGTACATGATTTATCGTTGAGTAAATTGTAGTCACTCTTGAATTTTTTAATTTTATTTATAATACCGTCCACAGCATTTTTAAACACTCCAACACTATTTTTAAGCTTCTCCAAATTCGCCTTATAAATTTCCCTTTTTTCTGTTTCTTTGATTTGTTGAAAATAGTACTTGGTCTTTATATTTTTTGGGTTTTCAATATAAATCCATTCATAATGAATAAGCGCATCATTCGATTGTGTACTCCCTCGAGGCGTTCCAGTGTTATCCTTCTCAGCAATGTTAACTAATTGTTCGAGGCGCCACTCCTCGAAGCCATTCACTTAAAATTTTTTTGTTAATTTATGAACTCAAAATCTGAAGGGATTCTCTCCTTCTCAAGGGATCCTCTCCTTCTCAGAGGATTTTCTCCTTCTCACGGGATTCTCTACTCAAGGGATCCTCTCCTTCTCAAGGGATTTTCCCTTCTCAAGGGACTCTCTCCTCAAGGGATCCTCTCCTCCTCAAGGGATCCTCTCCTTCTCAAGGGATTCTCTCCTCAAGGGATCCTATCCTTTGGATTATCCTAAAATGTAGTGCTGAGTTTTCTTTACCAAATTCGCGAATCCCTTTTGGGAAGCTGCTTTTTTCTTATTAATAATGCTTCTACATAATGCTCTCCATAAGCAGAGATACAGAGACAGTGTTATCATTACTTGTTTAGCCGGCTAACCCTTATCCCGTGCCCGCTCAACTCATCTAATACTTAACTCATCCACACGCCCAAAAACGCTCAACTCATCTAAACGGCTAAAATTCCTTAACTCATCCACACGGCCAAAAACGCTCAACTCATCCAATCCTCAACTCATCTAATGCTTAACTCATCCATACGCCCAAAAACGCTCAACTCATCCAATCCTCAACTCATCTAATGCTTAACTCATCTACACGGCCAAAAACGCTCAACTCATCCAATCCTTTGGAACGAGACTATTGAGTACCAGTCGTTTGAGTCCCTGGCCGTTTGAGTCTGGCCGTCTGAGTCCATGACCAGTTGAGTCTCTGGCCGTTTGAGTCCATGACCAGTTGAGTCCCTGGCCGTTTGAGTCCATGACCAGTTGAGTCCCTGGCCGTTTGAGTCCATGACCAGTTGAGTCCCTGGCCGTTTGAGTCCATGACTAGTTGAGTCTCTAGCCGGTTAAGTCCCTGGTCAGTTGAGTCCCGGCCGTTTGAGTGGTTGATTACCGCCGGTTGAGTCTTGGGCCGGTTGAGACTCAACTGACCAGGGACTCACCCGGCTAGGGACTCAACCGGCCGATATTTCAAGGATTGGATGAGTTGAGCGTTTTTGGGGGTGTGGATGAGTTAAGCATTAGATGAGTTGAGGATTGGATGAGTTGAGCGTTTTTGGGCGTGTGGATGAGTTAAGCATTAGATGAGTTGAGGATTGGATGAGTTGAGCGTTTTTGGCCGTGTGGATGAGTTAAGTGTTAGATGAGTTAAGGATTGGATGAGTTGTAGGGTAGCCCCTTATCCTCCTCAATTTAAAAATGCTATGCTTACTCAATAAACGCGCGCGTCTTGTAAAATATCTTTCTCGTTTTAATGTTATTTTCTATCGCAAGACGCAACGCGACTTTTCTGCTATCGCGCGCTCTAAAATATTTTTCTCTAGCTATGTATTAGAATGTCTGACAGAAATCGATATTGAATGTCCTTAACAGGCTTTCATGTGAATCACTTCCTTAAGAAGCCATTGAAATGAATGTTTGACTCGTGGACATTATTTAATTTAAATTTGTTTGTTAAAACTTGATGATTGATGACTTTTTGGGCATCCATGATTTTAATATTCAAATTCTGATCTTATACTCAAAGAAGTAATTAAAAGACTTCTATCCATCGGTAAATGTTTCACTCCACCTAGTATTCCTCCGGTTAAAACACAAGATTGGGGTCGGAATACGATTTCCGGCGTTTCTTTCCTTCCGATTACTAAAAAACTTTTTTGATTTACAATTTCAGACTTTTGAGCCAGTTCCAATTTCCGGCTGTTCCGATTTCCGACACCTCTGAATGTTCCGACCCACCTCTGCTTAGAGTTGATAAAGTTAGGGCCAACCCTTATAAAACTGAAGATAGAATCCAGATTTTTATAATGATAATCTAAGGAGTCAAATTTTCTATAATAAGCATTACCTTCATTGAAATTGTATCGAGTCAGATAGAATTTATCGGCTGGGAACAATGCATAAATAAGATTTTGTTGTATTGTTGCCATCAACCTAGGCTCATTTATAGCAACATTTTTATCAAAAAATGAAGTCAGAATCAAAGCAAGACAAACAAGATTGAAAGGCAAAAGAAGCATTTTTGCTTTATCTCTCATTTTTTTTCTCCTTTGAATTTTCTTTTATTTTTTAAAAATAGTCAAGGCTGTTTAAAGTTTAAGATCATTAAAAAAAATCAATAAATGACTTCACAAAATATTAACAACAAGCGTCCTTATTCATATTCCAACTTTTCCCCTCCTGACCAAACATCAGGGAAAAAGAAATTATTAATTGACTCTATTAATGCAATTCCTCCGATTGGAGAATTGCCACAACTTGACAACAGCATTCCGGATTTTGCTAAAACCATTATTCAGCAAAATTATTCTTTAATTACCCATCTGACAAGTCTATTAAAAATTGCCACTTCTTTATTACAAGACACTCAAACTCCAACCGAAATTTTTGAAGAAAAAGAGCGACAGAGGTCGTTGGTGTTAATTAATTTACCTGAACAACCAACAACGACACCACCTTTCGAACGTGCAGTAGCTGACACTAAAGCTGTTCAAGGTTTACTTCACCAGCTGGGTGTGGAGTCTTATCCTAGTAGTATATATAGGATGGGTGTTTTTAAAAACCCAGCTGAAAAAGGTCACAAGCCCCGTCCCATTAAAATTCTAATGCCATCTTCTCAGCATCAACGGCACTGTTTGTCAGCTTGGAAAAGAGAAAGAATCAAAATTTGCAAAGACGAATTATCTAACATTTTCCTTCGGCCCTCTCTGACCTTACAACAAAGACAATTTGAATATGAACAACGAGTAGCAAGGCGTAAGGAACGTGAAAAGGCAAATATGGATGGAATTGAAGTAATTAATACGCATAATAAAAATTTTTAATAAAACCTCTCTGTATTAAGCCGGGTTCAAACTATTCCTTTAATCATACTGCACCCAAAACTCTTAGTAAAAATACGAAAACAAATCAAAAAAGCATAACTTGTTTATATTTTAACGCGCGCAGTCTTAAAAACAAATTAGAAAATCTACATATTATATTAGAACAAAAGATGTATTTACTTTTACTGATTACCGAAACTTGGTTAGACACCAAAATATTAGACTCAGTTGTTATAGGTAATTTTGGTTATTCAATAATTAGGGCGGACAGAAATAAAGGAGTGGGTGGAGGATCATGTATAATTATCTCAAATACTTTACCATTTATTATCATCAAGTCCTGTCTAGGTTTAAGCTATGAAATCAGCGGAGTAGACCTTATTTTACCCAACAACAATATAAGAATACTAAACGTATATAGATCCGTTAATAAAGAAAACACTAAAACCTTTCATCAGCTTTTTGAAAATCTTCATGACCTTTCTTTAGACTCGCCTTCACTAATAATTACTGGGGATTTTAACTTCCCAAATTTATCGTGGTCAACTAACTCTCCACATTCTAAAAACTCTAAGGATGCACAATTTATAGAATTTATAGACTCACTTGAACTCACACAGCACGTCAATTTTCACACTCGTTTGGATAAAATTCTTGACCTAATTCTTAGTAGTCCAAAAAATCTGGTCAAAAATCCGCAAAAAAGCACACCTTTTGGTACCTCAGACCACAATCCAATATCTTTCGAAATCAATTATTATCGTGAGATTAAAGCACTTAAATCCCCGCAAAAGCGATTTTACAAAGCAAACTACACGGACATAAATAATTTCTTAAATAATATAGACTGGTTAAGTTGTTTTTCAAAAGCTTCAAATCTCAATGAACTCTATTCACAATTCCTCGAAATAACACATTATACAATTGAAAAATACATACCTATAACACAAGGAAAAATAGATCCAAAGGCAATTCCTATCCACATTCGTAAGCTTTACTCCCACCAAAAAAATCTTTTTAAGAAAATTCCAACTAAGGAAACCGCAAAACAAATAACACTACTTAGCAAAAATATTGACAAACAACTTAAAAAATTTTACAGAAATAGGGAAAGAAAACACCTTAAAAATTCCCTTTTTAGATTCAAATACACTAGTCAATTTTTGAAGCCTAAAAATAGCAATATTCCGACTATTTTCAATAAAAATGGATTGCCTGTCTTTTCAGAAAAAGTTAAAAGTAATATACTAGGCGATGAATTTAGTTCATACTTCAATAACGAAATTCCAGATTTAGAGGATCTAAGCCAAGATAACCCACAAATTCTCAATACTCTGGAATATACACCTATAACTGTAAATGATGTCTTTAGTTTACTTTGTCAAGCCAAAAATATCAGTAATACCAGTCCAGACCAAATTCCTTATATATTTTTAAAAAAATGTGCACAAACGCTAGCGCTTCCGATTTTTAATATTTTTTCATATTGTCTCATGTCCTCAAATATTCCTGACATTTGGAAAACCGCAATAATACAACCAATACCCAAAAACGCAAAACCAAAATCTGCACAAGATTATAGGCCAATAGGATTGACCTGCACTCTGCTAAAAGTTTTCGAACAAATTATAGCCAAACAAATAAACGAATTTCTGCTTAAAAATGAAATCCTACCGCCTTCACAGCATGGCTTTGTTAAAAACAAATCTGTAACCACGCAACTACTAGAAATTACAAACGACATATCACATGCACTAGAGGAAAAAAGCCTAATTGATATTGTATACTTTGATCTGGCAAAAGCTTTTGATTCCATTCCGCATGC